GGGCCCCAGGCGGGCAGGTGGGGCGGCTGCAGGCTGGCCTTGGCCCGCGGTAGCGCCGTGCTGCCCGAAGGTCAGGCCAGAGTGTCTCAGGTCTTTCCAGGAGACAGCAGCCCAGAACAAGGGCCTACTCGCCCGGAGCCACAGAGTGGGGCAGATAAAGGGCTGGGGCCACTCCGAGGCCTGGCCTGGAACCTGAGCTGACCCGCTCGAGGGGTCAGGGTGTGGGGATGCTGACAGCAGGAGCAGTGTCCAGTGGACAGTGGGCAGGGCCTGGGCAGGGCTTCGGGGCAGGACAAAGCTACCCTTTGTCCCTAAGCTGGCAGTGAGAACAAAGGGCCCATTTAAGCCGCGCTGCTTGGTTTTATCAACAAAGAGGGACCAGAGAGCCGAGGAGTATCAGTGGCTCAAAGTGGGAGCCCTTGTGATGTGGCAGTCTCCCTAGAGACTGGTTCTCAGTAGCAGGAGAAGGCAAGGGAAGGTGCTAGAAGCCAGACTGGGAGGAATCCTCATGTCAACTCTCTGGTAATGGCAGGAAGGGTCACTAGACCGGGAGTCGGGGCCAAGCCCCGGGCCTGCAGCTGCATACTCTGGGACTTCTCTGACCCTCCGTGTCCTCACGGACCCTTGGAAGAATCTCTGGCCTTTGCGTGTCCTCGCTTCCCTTCCTTTTAGTGGGATGTGAGTCCTGGCTGAGCAATTGAGGATGGGAGAGACTGTGTGGGCCCAGGGCTACTGGGCTCCTACCTGGGCGAGGTCCCGTGGGGGCTGGGCCGGGAAGGCCTTGTGAGAGCAGACTCCACCAGCGTGTGGCCCAGGCTGGTCACGGAGCTGTGTGGAGGCAGAAGGGGCCCGTCACCGTGCGAAGGCAGACCAGGCCCTCCTAGGCCTCCCCTTCCTGCATGTGAGGTGGTCTAGGGGCCATCAGGGGTCCGAGGAGCCCGAGGAAGCGGCCAGTGCTGGCCCTCGCAGCAGCCCTGGCTGGGTAGCCTGGTGGACTTGCTGTCCTTCCTGGGAGAACTCTTGCTTACTCAAAATGAGCAGACCCAGGGGATGTTAGAGCCTTGAACCCGCTGACACGGGTCTGCTGGAGGGGCCCAGGAGCAGATGCATTTCGAGGCCAGCCCAGAGACTGTTATGGGGAGCTGTAACAAGCTCGCTCTGGAAGTAAAACCGGGGTCTCGGCGCGCACTCCTGCACACGCAGACCTAACGTGACCGCAGAGCCCCACATGTCGGGGCCACAGAGGCACAGCCACCTAAAACCTGCACTGTGGCTCCCCCCCAGGCAGCAGGAAGCCACCTCTCTCTGAATAATTAATACTCACCCCCAACCCCGCCCTCCCG